GTGTGGGGGGGGGGGTGTGTGTGTGTGTGTCCTAGAGCTTGAACTCTTGGCCTAAAGTCTAATCCTGAGTATTTTAACTCAAGGTTAATTCTGTACTACTTGAGCTATAGCTCCACTTCCAATGTTCTTTGGTAGTTAATTGAAGATAAAGCTTCTAGGACTTTCCTGCCTGGGCTGGCTTCAATCAGTGATTCTCAGATCTAAATCTCCTGATTAGCTAGGATTAGAAGAGTGAGCCACCTGCACTATAACACACCGGGAGATTTTCATATCTGTTGATCAATGAGGTCCTGAGTTCATTTCTGTCTAGTTAATTTAAAATACACTCAGTATTAGGAACTTTAAATTAAGCACTGAATTAAGAATAAGAGCTTTAAGGTCACATAGCTATGATTCAAATCACAACTCTTGTATTCCTTAATAGTAATTTGACTTTGGGCAATCTTAAATACCAGAGTCTTAGTTTCTCTGAAAAAAAGAAATAGCAATATCTTAAGCCAGGATCTGTAGTATCACACTATGAGATGAGAATTTCATGTAATTAAGGAATTCCAGAAAAGTTTCCATTAAAGTACCCAGAGTAAACAAGACAGAAAAAGAGGGCGATTTCAGGCAATATCTTAGTATCCACATGATCCTGCAAGGGAACACTTCTGGTGTAAATTACACCTTAAAATTTCTTACAAGTGGAGTAATAAGGCTGGGCTTTCATACTGTCTAGCAGAGTCCTTGGCAAAGGACATGCTGGGAGAGCTGTTAACTCCCTGGTGGCGGCTCCTCGCTTTCTGTGCCTACAGATGGACTGAATCCCAAATCCTGTGGCAGTCTTCCAGAGACAGGCGATGAGAAGAAGAAAAAAACCAAAAAACAAAAACACAAAAGCCAAGGGGAAGACATTGAAGTTTAGCCAAAGAGATACTATCATCAGGGTGGAGCTTGACTGTGTCCCTCAAAAGTACCTCATAGGCCAGGCATAGGTGGTTCATGCCTGTAATCCTAGCTACTCAGGAGGCTGAGATCTGAGGGTCGCAGTTCAAAGCCAGCTCCAGGAAAGTCTGTCAGACTCTTATCTGCAGTTAACCAGCAGAAAACCAGAACTCGTACCATGGCTTAAGTGGTATAGTGCTTGCTTGAGCTGAAGAGCTGAGGGATAGCACCCAGGCCTAGAGTTCAAGCCCAATAAGTGACAAAAAAAAAATACCTCAGAGAACTCTTCAAACAATTGAATGTGCTCAAACCTTTCTTTCTTTGGCTTTTAAGATTTCAAAAGTATTTCTTTGCGAGGGACAGGAGAATAGCATGCAGTATCTAGTGTCAGGTTCTGCACATAGAATGCTAAGTGATGAACTAATTCTTCCTTGTCACAAACACAAACCCAAAATTGAAAAGGATGAAGAAATTATAGTGTGAGGCTTACCAGAATAGGAACCAATCAGATTTGTATAAAGCTATCATTTGTGCAATCACCAAGGAGTTCTGATATGGTCACATATGTCATAGATCAGGAACTTGAGCAAACTTGAGACTCACAACTATTTGTTTTCATCTCTGGAAAGGTAGTGGAAGCAATCATTTAATGATGATAATTTTGATAAATGCCATCATCCAGGCCTGATAGTAAATCTAAATTTCTAGAATATACTTTCTCTTATAGAAAAAAATCTTTTTGCTTATTCTCAGGTCCATTTCTGATACCTTCATTTATAATAGCAACTTACTTTTAAGCATCATTTACAAGATACTTACAAACTTATCTGTGCTATCACTTCTTCACCAGGGAATGAACACAGTGTTAAGTGACTTAGTCAAGGTTGCACAGATATAGGTAGGATCTCTCTTTTTTTGGTAATTGGTTGTGGGGCTTGAACTCTGGGCCTGGGCGCTGTCCCTGAGCTCTTCAGCTCAAGTCAAGCACTCTACCACTTGACCTACAGTGCCACTTCCTAAGTAGGATCTCAGTTTCCCAATTCCCTAGCCTCTTTACTCTCCAAGAAATGTGTTGAAGGGGTTGGAGGCATGGCTCAGTTGGTACAGCAAAGCCAATGGGTGGAAGCAGTAGGTACTAAGTTCAACTCCCAGTCTTGGACCTAAAAAAGAAAAAAAAAGAAATGTATTGACGTGACACATACTGGGCTGATAAGAATCTGCCATCTGTATTGCCAGTAAAACTTGCTAGGAAGCCAATTGTAGATAGGTTGGGGAGACTCACTGAAACACCATACACTGGGGACCTGGACTAGTTTACTTGGTGTGTAAAACTGGTCTTTCCCATACCACTTGCCAGAAAGCCATTTGTTAACCACCATGTAGTAAGTACAAACAGAAATGTGCTGGAACCAAGAAGAGTACCCCCCACGTCACCACTTCCCTCCAGTTTTATTTTATTTTATATTTATACCAGAATTGTTCTAGCACCTCTACTGGCACAGCCTAAAACTGTGCTAATTGACAACAAAGAAATGTTTTCAGATTACAGTTTTAGTATCTTATACAGAGTGAGAATGACAGGTTTGGAGCTAAAGAGTCCTGAACTAACTGACATGTGACTGCATTTGGTTTCTGGATAAAATTTCTGAGCATAAATTTTCTGCTGAGCTGTTTTTTTTTATTCCGGTTTTCTGTAAAATAATCAGACTTCACCTTTGTTGACCCTGTACTGTGTGATGGAATGACACTAGGCAAGTGTATGAGGATAAAGTTCAATGCAGTGATCCAGAGAAGGTCTAGATACAAACCTCTTGAGTCTCAATAGCTGTCAGCTTTACCACTGAGTAGATTTGTAACCTTGCTAAGTTCATCTCCATAGTTCTGTTTTCCTAAATATAAAAGGCCATGCCACTACATACTGCCTGTAGCGTTAGTTCCAGATCTCTGAAATGCCCCTGGCTCCCAGGATAACCTTCACCAGTCCCAGCCAATGTTCTAGAGATCTGTTTCCCCAGGCACAAAAACTCTATCCTCCTTTAAGATCTCCTCCCCAAAGAGGAAGGAAATTTGCCATTAAACACCTACCTGTCTGTGACAGCTGCAGACTTTACCTGATTTAATCCTCACCCCTGAATTAATCCTTACCAACACTCTCTCCAATTAGCATGTTTAACCCTCCCTAACCATGAAGGAAATTCAGGCTCAGGAAGTTCAAGCTGTGAACTCAATGTCTCAGTCCATGTTAAATACAGCAACTGGATTCAAGCCCCTTCTTTCTATATGGGTCCTCTGAGCCTGTTTAACTGTACCGATTGCCTCCCACTCTCCATCAGACAGACAGAATCCTAACTGCTCAACGTTTTTCATGTTCTGATTTAAAGAGATGAGTGGGTGAGTGAATTTTTTGTATGCGTCTGATAAGTACATTTGAAAGTTAAGCACATGAAATTCACTTAACAGTTACAAGAACTAAAAAAATCTTAATCATACCAATGCAACGTCTGGGGGCTAGGGTGGGGGGTGGGCTAGAATCATTCGATTTTCATCCTTGGCGTCCTGCCCTGACCTTGCTCTTGGCTACAAACTTGGGAAAAGAAGTAGATGGGAGCCAGCGAAGTGAGTCGAGGCTGAGTCGAGATTTGTTTTTGATGTTGTTCTTTCCTTTTTGTGTAGTTCTTGGGTTCTTGGGCCCAATCATCTTAAGGTTTCGTCCCCAGGGAGATGCTTAACTGGATGAAGGCATACCCCACCCTGTCTGCGGGTGCCGGGTGAGGCTGGTCTTCCTCCCGGTGAGAGCTCCACGCTAGCTCGCAGCTGTGGTCATCCCCACCCCTACCCCGACTCCTGTAGTGTCTTTCAACCTCCTGGCTCTAGTTCCCTGGAATCTCCCACCCCTCAGGACGACCTCAACCGGGCTAAGTGCTCTTGCCGCTGCATCGCCTTCTCCAGCTGTCTGGGTCTCCAGACTCCAACTTTTTCCCTTCTCCAAGGGAGGGGGACTTCTGAGAACTTTGCAAGGGATCCAAGACTATAAAAGTAAAGCGGCGGCGAAACCTCCCGGCGGCGGGACTCTGCTCTCCACGCCGCTCGGGACCCCTCACCCACACCCCAACCCCTGCCTTCCTGCCCAAGGTCCCCCTTCCGCGCCAGGTGCCCCGCACCCCAACTTTCTCACGGCAGGTTCCAGGCTTGCAGCGCCTGGATCTGGGGCCCTAGGCACTCGGCGGGCCAGCTTGTCCTGGTGGCTGTGTGGGGAGGGTGGGGGGAGGAAGTCCGGGCGGACTCCGCACTCTGCAGCCTGGCACTCGGCTCTGCCACATCGAGGCTGGAGAAAGGTCCGCACTGGACTCCAGGCCTTTGCTGCCGGCCTCCCCACGCCGGGCCTCGGCTCCCCTCCTTTGCGGCTCCCGCCTCCTCCTGCCGGCTGCCAGGCGGACCCAGCCTGCCTTTCTCTCCCTCTTCTCTCTCAGCCTTCACTACCGGGTCAAGCTGCGGAGGGGGGCGGGGGGGGGGGCGGTGGAGGGGAGAAGCCGACGAAGCCCTCCCCCGCTCTCCACCCTGCGCGCGCCCCTCCTCCTCTCCGGCTTCTCCCCTCCTCCCTGCCCCCTCCCCTCCAGCCAGTACAGTACAACTAGTACACGCACACACACACACACACACACACACACTCGCGCACACTCGCGCGCGCGCGCGCGCGCACACACACGCCCAGCCGCTGCCTCTGCAGCTGCCATGGATATGGGCTAACAACCCAGGCCGGCGCGCGCTCCCACGCGCACCACGCAGGAGTGGCCCCCGGCATCCCGACCCTCCCTCCCCACCCCCACCCACTCGCTCCCCCGCTCCGCCTGGCGCTCGGGCTCGCGCCGCCACCCGCTTCCTCGGCCGCGGCGGGGGCCACAGCCTTGAGTGTCATTCAAGGGACAGCACAACCTCACCCCAGCTCGCTCTACCTCTGCCCCGCCGTCCGTCCCGCTCACCCCCCCCCCCCCGCCCGGTCCTCCTCTTCCTCGTCCACGCTCCATCCCGAGAAGAAGAGGCAAAGCACCGAAGCCACGGGGAGGAAGGCAAAGTCTGCTCCCCTTACCCGCCCCTTGCCTCCTTCCCACCCTCGTTCTCACTACCGACCCCCTCCCCAAAGGCACCTCAAGAACTGAGGCGATCCACCACCACCACCACCACCATCACCACCACCCCCTCCTACTGCCATGTCCAAAAGCTTGAAAAAGAAAAGCCACTGGACTAGCAAAGTCCACGAGAGTGTCATTGGCCGGAACCCGGAGGGCCAGCTGGGCTTTGAACTGAAAGGGGGCGCCGAGAACGGACAGTTCCCCTACCTGGGGGAGGTGAAGCCGGGCAAGGTGGCCTATGAGAGCGGCAGCAAGTTGGTGTCCGAGGAGCTGCTGCTGGAGGTGAACGAGACCCCCGTGGCGGGGCTCACCATCAGGGACGTGCTGGCGGTCATCAAGCACTGCAAGGACCCTCTCCGGCTCAAGTGTGTGAAGCAAGGTGAGCGCCAGCGGCTGGCCCGGGGCTCTGCCAGCCGGTGGCACCGCTCGGTGGCCGAGGGGCACAGGGAGGGTGGGCGCGCGTGTCGAAGGTGTGGGGGGGGAGGGGACGCGACCGTGGGGTGGAGTTGAGGGGGAGCTTCGCTGGGGCTCCGACGGAGGGGCTGAAAGGAGGGGAGGGGCTGCTTGTTGGGGAGCCAGCAACTTTGTTTGCGTAGTTGGACCCTCCCCTTTGGAAGGTGCTTGGCCTAGTCTGACCTCCCGTGCGCTTCTGGGGCAAATTCAATGTGCGTCAGTGGCATCTCGCCTGCAGTGGATCAAGGGGTGGAGGGAGGGAGGGAGGGAGGGAAGGAAGGAAGGAAGGAAGGAAGGAAGGAAGGAAGGAAGGAAGGAAGGAAGGAAGGAAGGAAGGAAGGAAACGGAGGGAAGGAGGGAAAGGAAAGAGAGGTAGGAGCAGCTTGAGGGTGCAAAGGCATCCTCAGCGGGGCTGGGAGGAGAGAGAGGGGGCGGGGGTGTGTGTGTGGAGGAGAGGAGAACTGAGGTTGGTGTTTCTGGACCCAGACCGAGGAAGCCTTGGTCCCCAGATGGCCCCTCTAGGGATCCCTAAGCTCCTGGATGGTCAGGAAGGGAAGAGACAAAATGCTTTGGACGTCCTGATGGGTCTTCGGTAACTTTTTCCCTGCTCCACTCCTAGGTCCCTCTCCACCCCCCCTCAGCCCCCGCCCACAGCCCTGTCATGTGGGCACCGCGCGTCACAAGCAGACTGACTAACCCGGCGCTCACCCCAAGCCAGCCGGCTGGAGGAGGCTCGGAAGAAGGCTCGGTGTTGGGGAGTTCTTTCTAGTCTTGGGGAATCTAAAGAGAGGGAGGGAAGGAGGGAAGGAGGGAGAGAAAGAGAGGGAGAGGGGGATGGGAGTGGGAGAAGGAAAGAGGATTCTTCACTCAGGGGTTGTCCTCCTTGAGTGGTAGTCGTCTATGGTTGGGCTCTCCTCGGGCTTGGAACTTGAGGGGCCCTGTTTCTAGGGGAGGAGTTGGATGGAATTGCCAGCTGGTTATGGCTCAGACTACAGAAGCAACAACCTGACTTGGATGAGTCTCAGTGGAAGACTGTGAAGTAGACTTAGAAAGTCAGAGATCTTGCAGAACTCTCTCAGGAAACACTGCTTTTGCTTGAAAGTAAATTGTGGTCCTGAAGGAGGAGAAAGTGAGATAAAAGTCTGAATACAGAACTTTAGCAAGAATGAAGTAGTTTATCTGTCTTTTCCACATATAGTTGCACACCCTTTACTAGCTTCTTGCAAATTTCGTGTATGGCACGTGTGCGCATGCCTCAGAAGGGTTACTGTCTGTTTGTCCTGCCTTGAAGATGGGATTGAATGTGTCAACTGTATTTTGGATCATTGATTGATTCTATGGCACGACTAAGTATCAAGGGTGAAGTTCTTAATTATAAGCTTATTCTCTTAAAAACAACTTGCTTAAACATAAATAAGGTTGAAAGAATTTTCAGGAAGTGCTGTAAGAAGAAGTTGTCATAGGAGAAAACATTTTCCTTGGGATTTCTTGGGCATTAACAGAAGATGACATTAGTCAGTCATTTTACTAGCAAATTAACAGAGCACGTATTGGATGACTCTGTGAATTAGGTGGTAGTGTATCTCCCTGTTTTTTGTGTGTTTGTTTGTTTTTAATAAGACACATCACAAACCCAAATATAGGGATTCCTGTGAACATAGTTTGGGTTGTGATTGTGCCAAACAGCAATAGATATAAATGTAAAGTTCACATTTGGGGCCTATGAAATTTACAGAATGAATGACCATAGCTTTGTGGGAAATAAGCTTGGTAATTGTAATTCAAAGTAACCGATAAGTCAACACATCATTAAATTGAGCCCAACAGTGTTTAAGGGAGTGATTATGGTTATGACATCTTAACTGTGGTATTCTATGCTGAGTTGTAAGTGTTGAGATGAAATTTGGCAAATTTTAATATCAGCGTGCAGTAATGTGTCCAGACATAAAAATCAAGGAAGATTATTGGGCATTATATATTTATTCTCTGAAATTCAGTAAAAAAAAAAAATCTTTGGAGAAGTGAAGTGATGATCTAAAAGTTTAAAATATTGTTTTAATATACAGTATGTACATGTGTGAACTACCATGGTGAAACCTCATAATACAATTAATATTCATTGAAAAGTGAAAGACAGGAAAGTAAAACAGACTGTTTGGGGCCTAGTGTTAGAATAAGGAGGAGAATGAATGGAGAGAGTGAATGCAGATGAATATGGTTATATTAATTTTTATTCGTATATGAAAATAGAACAATGAAACCTGTTGAATTTTTTTTAAGAGACAGTGGTAGATGAGGGTGAGATTGATGGGGAAATGTCACAATAAAATCCTGGTTGTACAATTAATGGGTTCTAAAAAGATCTTAACAAAAATGTTGCAAGTGCTGAAAAGCTAATAAGTAAAAAAGGAAATCTGGTATTCCAATGATAGATCAGGGTCATTGGATGTACCTTTCATAAAATTATGGCAAGGGCTAGGGGCATCACTCAAGTAGTAGAATACCTGCCTAGCAAGTCCAAGGTCCTAAGTTCAAATCCCATTACCACTCAAAACAAAATATTTTTAATGAAGTCCAAAACTCTTACAACACAACCTTCAATATTTGATCATTCAATTTCTGTTTCATATTTTCTTTGGAACATTATTGCTTTTATAGCTCAAGGGTTTAGGTGAAAATCTCTTTATATCCCACATTAAACTTGTGTTCCAAACTTCACTGGTTTGTTGGCGATGGGCTCTTTCAACAAGTTCACAGAACACCCATAGGAAACTTTACTACTGAATCACAGTTGATCAGGAAATAAAATAAAAGAAAGAAACAAAAAAAATGTTTCTTTTACTCTTGGGGAAAGTTGCAATCCATCATTGTATGTGGACTTTTAAATATATTGACTCATATATGCTATTCTTTTTGGAATCATTCTTATGTCAAAGAATGGATGGGTTTATTCAATTATAATTATAAACAGAGTAAAAATTTCAGAACTTTAAAATCAATACTTATGTTGCTTGGGTTCAGTATTAATTTTGTTTGCTGGAAAGTTATTGAAAAAGTCTTGCTCCATACTTATATTTCTGGGGAGCCAAAGTAATTAGCATAGCTTAACAAATTAAGCATAGTTTGTTTAACAGTTGTATTTTTAAGCTATTAATGCGATTGATATTTGAATATTCATTCATACATTGGGTATTATGCAGCAGACACATGCAAAATTATAGCTAAACTAGGGCAGCTTTTTGTAAAGAAAATTGGAGTTAAGTAATAAGACTACTGATAAAAATGTACATAAAATAAACATGCTTTAATTCCTCACTTTTTATTTATTCCCATGATTCATTTTACACTATAGTAATTATAATGTAGAATTATTTGGACTTTAAAAGAAGATGAACAACTAGGACTTTAAGTAATGCTATATAAGGTAGTTTTTAAATATAATTTTTCAATATTGCTTAAAGAAGTTTTTGCCTAAATTCAGTGATTTTCATTTTAATTTAAGCTGGTTTCTTCTAATTCACATTGTAATGAATCATATGTGAAAGTACAACTTATTATCGCATCCAGATATTTTTATAGATTATTTGGGTTTTTAAAATTATTAATAGTAAGCTTTCCTTAGCAGTGTATTTAGTCCTGCATTAACAGTTCTGTTGTCATCATTTCATTAATACATCAGACTCAGTTGAAGAGAATATCTTGAGTTATTATTGAGATCTAGGTTGAAGTGCTAAAATTTTTCTTTGTCTTTTTACCTCTAAAGTTCACAGAAAGTAGCTACAAAGATTTTTGTGTCCTACATTTCTTGTCCTGTGGTTCCTAATGCTCCTTATTCCACACAGGGACTCACATAGCCTGAATTTATTTTCCCATTTAATATCTTACAATGGACACTAAAAGGCAAAAAGGTTTTCTAATTCTTCCCATGTGAAAGATGAGCTAAACAAGGCCTTTGAAATTCACTTCTAGAGAGGATCCACATTGCTTTCCCTCCCATTGCCCCTTTCAAGGTCACCTTCAAAGGAAAGTAGAGCCACATTTGTTAAGAGCTACACTTTCTTCTTAACTGACTTCAGGTGTGTATCAAAGTAAGCTTCTGTGTTTCTTTATTTGGAAATAAAAACAAAGTATGCCAGATTAGTGAATTAGATTGACTTATCTCCATAGAATGTGTTATATTTTACTCAATAAATTTAAAATGCCTAAATATCTTGATTAGTGGATACTTTAGAAATAAAGCACTTTTAATGATTTGGAACAAGATTGAGACAATTGGTTCAAGCATTATTTCTGAGGGAACCCACTGTGGTTTTTCAGTATTTATCATTTAAATGGGATGACCTTGAATGTTAAATAGGACCATTGGCTTTTTGTATGTTTGCTTTGAATGAGAGTCTTCTCAGGGTGGAATGCCAGCCTAAGAATTTAAGTGCCACCAACTCTACTCTAACATTGATGCTATGCAATTTTTGGCACATTTATTATGCTTACTTTCCATTTAAGTCACTTGAAGCTCACACATTCACTTTTGTAATGAGAAAGAAGTTTACACATTTGACATCTCTCATTGCCTGTAGTTTAAACAATACTTTCAAATGCATAGCAGGAAGCCAGGCTGAGAAGTGGCTCAATGTGCAGTTTTCTCTTTTAATTCTGAACATACTAGTTTATGCTAGCTACATGAACAAGTCATCTAACCTGGTGGAGTAATTTGTAAGAGTTTTAGATGAGGGCCTGGAATTGTAGCTTAGTGGTAGAACACTTGCTTCACATGTTTGAGGCTGGGTGCTTGATCCCAAGCCTGGAAATAAAAACTGAAAAAGGAAGGAAGGCAGGAAGACAGGAATGCAGGAATGCAGGAAGGAAGGAAGGAAGGGAAGGATAGAGGGAAGGAAAAGAAGGAAGGAAGGAGCAAAAAAAAACTAT